AAACGCCGAAAAATAATATTATTTTTTTCGACCAAATATTTGAAAGCAGAATGGAACACAGTCTCATAAATATACAATATACATTATACATATATGAGTAAATCTTATATATACCCTTCAATGATGCATGGGGTGACCCTCATCCCCTAATAACGCGTTTGTGTCGAAATGGGTCGAATTTCTAAGAAAGACCACCCTCCCTCGGTAACAAATGTATAAGAACGAGGGGACTGCATTTCGTACAGAATGTGCTGTGGCGGTGTTGTCAAATCCTTATGTGAGAATATTTTTAACAGATGGCAAACCGACCCTGGTTACACGGCAATATTATTGTTGCCGAAAATCCCAAGCAAGCAGTTATTATAAAACTATAAGCAGATGTAATAATGTACGTCATCCCATTGATTATAAACAGGTACTATTATTTTTAAACAATGGTTATACGTATATAGACGTACAATTATAGTATATAATATAATAATTCATAATAATTCATATTTATATTTATAGTTTTACAATTAGTCTAAATATTAGATGATACATTATAGTCAGTGGGCTTAGAGATCATTATTGCATATGAATTAGGTATTATTTTTTATGGTTACCTGTCTATTTGGCTTATAGAAAATAGTTCTGCATAACATTCATGATAATAATATGTACGGGCGTAAGGTGCTTAAATATGAATAAATTATGTGGATACGTTTATTGCAAGTTGCAACTTGATAAAATTGTTTTTCTATATAAAATACATCCAATCTTATATCAATCTCTATAACATATTTTATAACTTCTAATTGGTGAATAAAAAATGTTCTATATGCAATGTGCACATAATTAATGCATTTGAAAAACGGAAATTATGATATAACTTAGTGTCACTAACAAACATAGCGTATCGATCAGCAATTATTGAGGAGCATTTTTTAAAATATAGTAGATTGTAATATACGAATTTTGACCTGATTTTATTATACCTTAGACTGACTGTTATTAGCGAACCGTTTTTTAATATACCACGATCTATATTCTTCATAAAGGTATTAAATAATACAATGGCGTAGCCAGGATTTTTTTTCGGGAGGGGGGGGGGGCTGATCAATTTATTACACAGCGGTGGCTTAGTTTTTGATCGAATACCATAGACCATTAACCTAATTTTTAAATTTTATTAACATTTCGGGGGGGGGGGCTGCAGCCCCCTCAGCTTCCCCCCTGGCTACGCCACTGAAATAATACAACTATGACAGTGGCTTGTATAGTCCTCATGCGACTTTTTATTGCTGGGACCACTGTAATTGCTCTAAATCTCTTATAGTTTATAGGTATCTACTAATAAACAATAAGCCACCTAACTTACAACTATATACAAGCGTGCCCCGTATTTTGTACATTATATAATGAGACACTATTTACTATTTAGTACCTATTTAGTTACAATTAAATATCAATCACCCCGTCGTTAATTATTAAAATAAATACTAAAATTAATAATATGTATGATAAAAATGATTGCAAGTACCTACGCTCGAATGAAGTGAAACTTCTTAGCAAAGCGTATGAAAAAAAATGTTGTGTTACAAGCTTTGATATTAGAGTGGATTAACTTTTTTATAAAACTTGAGGTAGGTACGAATTATGTGTGCTTAAACATCGGAGTTTTGTAAAATATTTTAATTTTAAGCAATTTATGATCATTTTTAAATTTTAATATTTTGTATACAAATAGTACTCGCTTAAATAATAAAATATCGTAAGAAACAGACGAAAGAACACAAGTTCTAACATTAACTTTATTACATATTTTATAAAAACAGACTTTAGTGTATGTAGAATGTAGATGTGATATGATTTTCTATAAAATAATTAATTATTTTATAAATCAACTTAAAATATGATCCTAAGAATAATAACATCGGGTTTTAAGACTACACACGTAGTTGTAATTAGGCATTAGGTAGGTAGGTAGGTACTGGGTAGGTGCTTGAGAGCTTAAGAAATACGAAGGTATACCGTTACATTATTTGTTACCTACTCAGAACTAGACTTTATCAGTTGTTTTTTTTATATTAGTTATTGATAGATATTATCTTGTAAAAAAAAAAAATAATGTACCGTAGAAACCACCTTTTGTCATTTCCCCTCCGTATTTTAAGTGCATTCCAAGTTATCAAACAACATATTATTGTAATACGCACTTTAAAAATTACCCTATACTTATAAGGTTAGGTTATAATGTAAAAATGAAGCCAAATATGAATGCGTAGGTACCTATACCTATGTATAATTATTCTTATAGCCACATGTTTGTTCATCTTAATGCGTTATTCGAGTATTTAACTTATAGGTATATATTCCGTATGGGTTAAGGAAAACGATCTACAATACGATTAGGTACTTACATACCTACCATTACATACCTACCAATACCCACTGTTCCCATAGGTCATCAAATGTCGCGCCGTCGAAGTGACGTCATTAAATAAGAATTTCGATTAAAACCACACGTTAAACACAACATAAGAAATCCATTATTATACAATTACCAAAATACCCACCTACCTATACAAAATAAATCATTTTGATATGCGTAACGTTAGAACGTTTTCATTATAATAAAATAATTATTTTTTTTATCTAGTAGGTAAGTTAAATTAATTAAAACCAAGAAAATTTAAATGTATGCTTAAAGTCTTAAAACATTTTTCATATTATCTTAAAAAGTGATTTCCAGAATATTACCGACCGAAGTGTTTGAATAAAAACAATTAAAAGACTAGGTATTGACAACAATATTTCAAAAAAACTTTGTTATTAAGGCTATTAATAATAAGCTTACTGTTTAAAACTCACAACTCACTACAGGGTATAGACATAATAAAACCAATTATCGAGTTTGATATGCGATAGATGGTTAATATCATTTGTTTTTGAATTTTGTAACAACAAGTAATAACACACTTACACACTACAATAATTTATTATCACCGGGCACCAAACTGTAAGTAATGATTGTCCAAGACACAGCTTGCCTATTGTCACTATATCCTATTGGGTTACTTCAATACTTCTTCTAATTCTTAAACTGAAAATTCGCATGAGTAATCAATGTTATTCTGATTTTATTATGTAGGTTATACTAATTACTATATAATGGAATAGTTCATACTTTTGGAGTGCGGTGGTACATGAAGCTTGGTAAACGCCAAAAAACCTTGTTAGAATATTGTAATTTATAATTTTAAAAAAACTAACCACCAGGAATAAAAATAATAAACTATTATTAAAACTTAAATGATACTTATAGATATCGAACTGGTAATATTTTGTCATAAAAGCTTGGTAAAAGTGCATTTTGGCTACCACACGTTTTTTTTTATTTTTGAAACATGTGTTTAAGAAAAAACTGCTCAGATCATTATTTTGGAAATAATATTCCTTCCAAAATGTTTACGTTTTTACACATGTACAAGATGTTGTATTTTACTATATGTCAGGAATGGGCCACTCAAAGTTACTAGAGGGCCAAATTTTAGAAAATTAAAATCTAGAGGGCCAAAGCACAGAAATCAAAAAAAAAGGTCATTCAAAATATACATTCTAATTGGTTTTAAATAGATTATAGAGTATAGAAGATAAAATTGTGTGATGTAATTTGAAAATGTAGCTCGGGCCAGATAAAAAAAGGCCGGCAATTGCCCACCCCTGCTATACATGATGACATTTTTTCAGGTTTTTTTAACTCATTTTAATGATTGAAGAATGATAATAAAATAAGGATTTGACGATTAATTTTGGTTTTGAAATTATAGTGATTTTATTTTTCCATTATTTATTGCAGTAGTGATTACACAATCACGGATACTCGGTTTCTTGCGAGTGAGAATTGATAACACGATCGACAACCGTCAGCCGGGACGCCGGATTAAAAATTAAGATATATCTTAGTCTGCATGGGTGCCCGCAGGTGGGTGGCAGGATTGGACATGCTCTCCTGCTATTTTCATTATTATTTATCTTTTATCACTTATTCACTAGTAAAAATATAGTATGTGATGTGTTATCAGAGATTTTTGACATTGCCCTTCCCCCGTGGGTTATATTGCTGCCGGCATCCTTGTTAGTCAGTGATACTATCAATACTATCAATGTTTTACTCTTACTCTTATAAGCTTATAATAAACGTCACAGTTTTTCGCTGTTCTTGAATTATATGGAATCGACTCACGAGGTTTTACTAAGTGGCTGACAATATTGCGTATTTGTACTTCAAAATAAAACATTCTGCATCAATAAATCCGTTTCTAAAAGTATTGATAGTCGCTTAATACAGCGTTTCTTTCAATATATGGCATACCTAACGTAATAATTTAATTTCATAATTTACCTATATTTTCTAATTTTTAATAATATATGAAAATGACACTTAATGGAGATATCATATCTAAAATAAAAAAAACCTACTTAACAACATAAAATATGACCAATCGGCATCATAATTTAAAAGTGAATTAATTTGTCTGCCTTTTTAAGCAGGTAGCAGTGCTTCCCGAACTTGTCCTGACCGCACGTAAGTAATTTGAACCAAATAAGCGCAGTGTTGCATTGTATAACTGATACATTCATTATATATAAATAATCTGTATTTATTTAATCAATGTATTTACTTTGACAATAATTTATGAACATATTTACGAAAATATAACCCATTTTGAAACAAAAACAAATAAAAATGAAAACATATCAAAATATGCAAAAATATGCAAAATAAATGTTTTAATATGAGTTCTCTGTATCATAAAACACATTTTTAGTTTACTCTGCTAATTCTTATGAATCTTATGAAAATTATGCAAATGCTATAAAATCTTAAACATGGTAATAGCCATATACATTTTACATAGGTATCGAAATTATATTTATTTTACTCAATCAGGATGAACTTAAATTCAAATTATTTTACATATATTATTCACACACATCAATCTAAATTTTGAATACATTTTATATGTAACTGAACCAATAAACCATCTAATATTTTATGAGTAACCATAATATAACTACTATACGTTGTTTCTTTAATTGTTTTGGTTTCAATTTATTTGATCCTCAGTTTAGATAGGCACTTATCTAAAATTGAAGTCTCGTTAGAAACATTGTTGTCCTCGCGTATTTGCTTACATTTTTTTTTGTGCATAGCTGCATGAATATGTAGACACTCGCTGTTGCAATACTGCACAGTCTTGCATTTAGGACATTTTTTTGAAGCATTAATTTCTTCGCATGCACCACATATTATGGGCAGTATGTTAGTTGATTGCACACTCCGAGCATATTTATTTCCAACCACCAATAGTATAATATCAAGGTGTGGCATGCTATCCATTCCTTGTGTCATATAAGATACCATCTAGAATTAAACAAATGTATCATTGTTGAAAAATTTGAATCATAATCTTTTACAGTAAAAATAAGAAACTAAACTATTAAAAAAGATTTTATTTTAAATTAAACTGAAAATTATATTTACTTAAATTAATAATCATATAATTAATAAGTAGTATAACAAAGTATATAAATTATATGTACTCATGTATATTTATGGATTAATTTACTTAATACTCGTCGCCAGTCAAAACCATAACCAAGCAAATATAATATGCACACAACTACACAAGTAATATTATTATTGTTAAACTGTTTTGTAAGTATTTTAAAAAATGAAAATAATTTAGAAAGAAATCAATAAGATTAATTTTATTAACTTTGACTTTTTTTTAAAAACTTTTAATATTTTACATTTAGCACAGTTATTACTCATGGGTGCATTTGATTAGCTTAATAGTTACAGGCCATCAGACCTTTGATATAATCAATTAATGACGTACGGGTAATCAAATCTAAAAATATATTTAAAATCATTTATACAACTGAACAGTTATAAAAAAAATGAGGATTTCCTTTAATTGAAAAACACGAAGTAGGATACCTATTATTAATCAAATACCCTATTCTACACAATTAAACATAAAACAAATATGAAATTATTGATTTTAAATGAGTAGACTCAATTGTTCTAAGTGATTGAAATTGGTAATCAATAATCATACAGTTGAAACTTTCAATGTTTTGACTAGAAAACTAACTAGCATTAACTATTCAAAACAAATATAAAATTAAATAATTAAAGATAAATACTCTTCTAAAAAGTGTAGAATCCTTGAAGGAAAACTTTACGATACAATCATGAAGAAACTGTTCCAAATAATTATTGCTCTTGGATATTTTCTGTATAAACACAGCCTTGGGATCTGTCTGACTTGTATTATCACTGAGCAAAAAAATTCACATTTTATTAAGTACATAAAGGTATTGTCTATTTTAGATATAAATTACTTGGGTTCAGCAAGTTCAAACAGAATAGTAGCCAGATAATGAAATTTAAAAGACAGCATTTCTTTTGTACTCGTGTGCTCTTCTTTCTTGATGAATATACGCCTGCTCATCAAGTGCAACACTTCGACAATCTTTAATGCATTACCATTAACCAGAAAAACAGGAGGTAATTCAAAAACCACTTTCACTGGATGGATATTAGTCTGAAATAAAATAATAATACTACGATTATGTACACTTTATTTATAATAAAACAATATCGATCCAAGACCCATCTTATAGTTGTTAATCAATACCATCGTAACAAATTTGTAAAAAAGTTCAGCCAATGCGGGTGGCAACTTTGGTTCGCTGCCAGTGAACTCCGGTAATGTGTAATATGTAACTTCTTCTCTGGGCACATAGTTGTTGATAAATGTTGCACATTCAAAATGGCCTGAGCATAAACATAAACACATTACAATATGAAAACATAGTATTATCGGCAAGTTTATAGGTAGGGTATACCTGTATACAAATCGCATACATACCATGATCAGCGGCCATTTGAGCCGGGGTGCGGTCAAGGTAGTTGGTGACACTTCTCATAGCGCCAGATTTCAACAATAGCTTGCACACCTCAATGTGGCCATTAATTGCGGCCAAATGCAACGGTGAATTTTGTTGTTCAAATTGTCCATAGTTAACTTTGGAGCCCTGAAATCGAAGAAAGTACCAGTGTATGAGTTTAATCATGAAGAATAAATTGACAACACATTACACATATTATATAGGTACGCCTTCTGCGGAACCTCCACGGAATACAGATTGCGTGTAGGTATTTAACCAGGTACGGATTCAAGGGAGAGTTTAGTGACATTAGCCCCTCCTCGTCGGACATAGTATGTAATATTATGTATTTATTATTTATATAACAAATAATGAAGTTCATACAATCATATCTGAATCATATGTCCTAAAACCCAAAAATTTAAAATACCATCAATAAAATTGCTAATATTGTAATCAAATCTAATCTATAATGTTATCTATAATCTATTACTACGTTGTACTAAGATAATAACTGTATTTTTCTCTGGAGTAGTTTAGCCCTGTCCATTTCAAATGTATAGATGCATGCCTATTTGCAATAATGACATTATATATTTATATATATATATATAGGTTAGGTTAGGCATATGCATATCTATACCTATGAGTCAAAGATAATTGTGAATTCGAAATGCAAAATTAAAAACAAATGAAAGTTATTTAGGCGTTTATTAAAACAATAGTCTGTTCGTTATGAGTCTGAAATGTCAGCAATGTAGTGTAGGTCAGCTGATATACAGATTTTTCCTCAATAGTATGGGGTTTCTATTTTGTCTTAGAAATAATAATCATTTAAAACTTCTACAAAGGCCTCATTAAATCTTTATAATAAAGTGCCGTATAAACTGTTAGTATAAAAATATAGTAGGTATTATATTAGTATAAAATATGTTACAAAACACATATTTGACACAAATACCTACAGCTATAATATGTACGTCATAATTTATTTTTAACATCGAAATTTCATTTATAGTATTTTTACTTCCAACTTTTGAGGTGATTATTATATTAAGTATTTTAAATATTATAGTTATTAGCATTAGTGTATTATACCAATATATTCTGAATACATAATTATTTCTCAGGGTCTTGGAACTTGGTTATTTGAGTAAAACAAATAGAGGAGTTATAATGAAGATACAATAAATATGGATATAATAATATATATTAACTATGTTGACTAGTTGTACAGGGTGTTGGGATACAGTTCTCAATTGCAGACGTTTAAATTCTCCTGTATAATTTGTATTATTATAATATATACCTAAATAATACAATCCTTTCAAATAAATAAATAATCTAATACAATTTGACTTGTAATAAAAATATCGATTAAATAATTGTAAGTGGTATATCTATTTGAAATTGTTATAATTACACACCCAACAATCAACTAAAATTAAATAACAAATTTGATTTCATCTACCGATAAGTAATTTTGAACTATTAAACTTTATGTTAAACTACCATTTTTCGACTATAATAATGTATATGAAAAATGGTAATACTCTTAAAATTTTAAATAAACAAATAAATAAATAAAAAATGATATTATGTTTGGCGCGAAATTCAAACACAATTTTTTTTACTCTCGCACGTTATTCGTGTGAATGTCCGTAAAATGGAAGGGGGGGAGGTTTTAGTACTACTCACTTCGCCCAAGAGCCATATGGCGATCTCCAAACTGCCTCGGTGCGCCGCGTAGTGTATCGGTGCCAGGCCATGATTGTCCAGTATGTTCCACGTATAAAGGTTATAGTTAATGAATATCTCCTGGAGCCTATTTAAATCGTTGAAGTATATAGCCTTAAATATCTCGTGGCTCAATTTCATTTCGCATAACGTCTTTGGACGCGGAACCGAAAACGTAATGGCACACGGACAAAACGACATTGGCGCCTACTGGGCGGCAAGCCGGCTAAGCGATCGATAAATTCGAAAACGAACGGCCGTCAGCACTCGAGCGCAACAGTGTACGACACGGATGTCAACGCAGTGTGCAACAGTGTCCACGGGCGGGATGGGTGGCGCGGGGTTACCATAAAACGTTCGTCAGCGAAACGCACGGACTACGCGCCAACAACGCATCGGATTGTCTGAGCAAAACAAAAATTACTGCGGTTAAACGGCGTGTTGACAAGATCCCGCTACGTAGGCGCTAGTGCTGCCGCCACCGTTACAAAAGACACAAAAGCTCGTATTGTAGTGCTGCCGCCCCCTCGCCCACAACGTTCCCCCAGATCAGGAGTCTCCGCTCGAAAAGCGTTTTCATCGTTATCGCCTTATCGACAATTCGATTTTCGTTTCACTCTCACTCGTCGTTGACCACCCAAGGTGATACATAATACATTACATACACACAGTACACGTATATTGTATACCTAAACATATATTATAAATTATAATATATATATATTTATACAAAATAATGTTAGTTATAACTTATTTAACCTTATAGGTACAATCGGTGTTTACTAGTTTAGTCCACAAGACAATTATTTAATCTAGTCCCGGTGTTTTTCAGGTAGTACACTAGTTGGGTACCACAATTTTTCAGGTACTACTCTAGTTGGCTACATGCAAAAAATCATTTACCTTCCCATTTTTGCAGACTTGGGTCTGTGGGTCTGTCAGTGAACTACAAATTAGAACAAAATGTTTCTTTTTTGAGAATTCGTTCAGCTGATATTTTAATAATAATTAAAAAATTGATTAATAAATTTCTAATATACTTATATAGACAATAATTATTACAGTATAAATGTTAAAAAATATGAAAAATGTATTTGTATTCTCTAGTTGGTTTTTATGATATTTTAATTTTTAAGTGAATTATTAGCATTTTGAAATATATATACTTTACATACTTATAACTCGCTTAAAAATTGAAATATCGAAAAAAAACCAAATGGAGTTCTTACAATCTTACATAAGAGTTTGATAATTAGTCAATTCTCTCTAATATCAAAACTAACAGCACACTATTGTCTATTGAAACTAGTGAACGAAAATTTGGTATGTTGTATGAGAGTAAGACAGAGACAACACACCCTGGTGCTACGTCTTCTAAGTTAGTTGGTGGAAAGTATTTTTAAAATTCAAAAGTTAATAGTTATCCTTTTTTTGAAGAATATAAATAAGCTTAAAATATTAAAAAGTAAGTGTTTATGCACTTTTGCATCATTCATTATAATTTAAGTATAATATCAGTAATTATAATAAATCAAATTACATTTATAGATATCACATTAGCCACATGATAAGTGGCGAGTAGATTCAATAATTACGTAGAACTTAATTTAAGTCATTAACTCATAACTCATACGAAAATTGTTTTAAGAATATAACTTATAAGTTAAGCAAAATAAAATTTTGAAGCTTCCCAATTCTCGTACCTATTTATGTTAGGAATAATAATGGTGTTAAATATATAGTGTTTCGTATATGTAGGTGTAGGTACAAGGAACTTATTCATTTCTAATAATATGTTTATTATATTTATGTAGAATATTCTATATAAAAAACTACATAGTAAATATCTATTATTTATACCTAGTTTATGGTTCTAACTTCTACGTCACATTGTATGGTCGAACATTAAAAGTGCATAACGTGGACACTTGGTTCGGTTGGGTAAAAATTAAGATTGCAGAATGCGGACACTGTATACTATTATATACTTATATACTTAATATAATACGAGTAGTTTTTTATTTCTATAATTACAATTTAATTCAGTATATAGTTATAGTTATAAGAAAAAAACTTTGAGTAGCCATGACCAATTATATTAAAAATGTCATTAAGTTTAAATACCAGTTAGTATTTCTAATAAATGACTAATTTAGTAATTTGGTAGTATAATTATAATTTATAAATAAACAAGAGTACCAAGTATCTAATGTTTGGTTGTTACCATCTAACCTGTAAATTAAAAAAACTGATTTTATTTAGCTTTTTTACTGATAAATATATACTATTTATAACATTTTTAGTTTACTTTTAAGTATACAATAATAGCTGATAGGCCATACCAGATTAACACATTATTACTTATTGAAAAAAGAAGATCCTCCAAGTTGCCCGACCTGCAATTATCCTGTGACGATTAAACACATTTTAACCGAATGCAGGAATTATGAACTACAACGTCAAAAATATAAATTAACGAACCACCTATCTGAAAATCGATGCTCCGGTACCCCTTATGTACCTAAACGTCTAAAGGATACTGAACTACACACAACAATTTAGAACTGTACTGATTATTCATAATTTTGTTAATCTATATTCTAATCATTGTTTTTTTTTTGTATTTTGTACATTGTCTAAATTATAAAATTGTAAAATGATTCTTCAACAATATTGTAATATTAAGGTAAGTTTCCTGTACAGATAAAATAATTATACAATACAATATAGTTATACATCAACATACTAATGTTATATTCTTTATGTACATAGTAGTAAAATGTGTCCGCCTTCTGAAATGAACATTTTTACCACATCGTAAAAATACAAATGATATATAATAATTTTTGTTATAAATTATAAAATAATTGTGTTAATACAACTTTTTTATGAACTACAGTCAGTTTCAATTAATATCGCAGTGTTTGCACTTGTGTCAAACGCACGAAACTTGTGTAATTCGTTTGGGGAAAAACACCCGTCTACACTCAACCTATTATTTTTTATTTATTACACTCATTAACTCAGAAATCATGAAAGAAAATCAGAAGACAAGTGCTTACTTATTATAATTTCATACTTGTTCCTACTTCCTTCTTTCCAGGTTATTATTTCGGCTGAATTAATACGATAAATTATGCACCATAATTTGGTGACTATATATTAGACATTTATACACTCTGTAATTTGTGTATGCAGGAATACTTTATGCCAATTGAATTCGTCATTTTACCTATCAGATATTTTAGGGACATTTTATAATCTATACATAGTCACTTCTACAGATCAATCTAAAATTTGGGGGTTATTGAATAATAAGAACAAATTGTAATAATTGAACAGTTTTGGAAGAGCAATATATTATTACAATTTATCTTAGGGAATTTGAGAGTCACAATTCAACTATCACGAACATAGACATAATTTTTTTCACGAACAACAACTCAAATTTAAGAGGACGCTATACACGTATGTTTTATCTTCGTCTTACAAATGTACAACATAGTGTAAACGGTTTTGATCTGGACAACTATACACTGTCTGTATATTTATAGTAGAATTAAGAAAATTCTAAAACTCATAGAAAAGAACTTTATTTGTGCTGTAGCGTTTTTATTTATTTTTTAATAGCACTAACCAATAATTCATAATAATTAAATGAAAAAGTAGAACAACACATTTTAATATTCTCAAACTGATAACTTAAATTTCATCTATGTTATCCAAATAATAAAAACACTACGACACAGAAATGTCTTCCCTATGCGTTGTGAAATGTTTTTAATTTTGCAATAAATACAGAAGGAGTATTTATAATGATCCCGCGCAAAGCAGTTTTCGTTATAGTATACATTTATAAGACTAAAACAAAAGGTGTAACGTCCTCGTAAGTCGTATTCGAAATTTCAAAAATTAAATTTAAAATACGTAAATCTCGATAATTGGTTGAAGTACATGTATAATAATTCCATGATTACAGTAATTGCAATTTATTATCTCCTATACGTAATTTAAAATAACTATCGCAATCGTCAGCAATGGCATTAATTTTTAAGTTTTTTTATGGCAGGGGGGGGGGGACAAGTTAAAATTCTTTTTTAAAAAAGGTGGAAATTTGTCTAACTTGTAACTTTTTGTTTATAATTCAAGAGGATAGATTAAACACTAACTAAAGGTACAAAAATTAATATTAATTTTGGTATTCTTAAGCAGCATTACTTTTCATTACGTATTTTTTTCACAACAATTTACACAACCTACATACAATAATATAATACTTAACATTAATGTATTATACACCTAAATTCATAGTAATAATACACAAATATATACTGTTAACAACAATAGTAGAAAGAATAGTATCTATCGAAGTAGATACTAGAAGTATATGTACCTATATTATATAAAAATTGAATAATTGACCTTCAAAAATTTAATTTTCAACAATAATATTGTAATGCATCAAAAATAATATGATGAAAAGCATTGAAAATACCGAGCGTTATAATATTATCAGGCCTGTATACAATAACCTTCGAGTGGACGGACTGCTTCAAGTGCATACCCTTTCCGCGGCCCGAATGGCAAAACTAAATTCGGCAACAACAATGGCGTTCAACAAGTACTACAGCAGGTGGCCAATATTATGGAAAATATTATATGTTTCTGCACGCACACACATTTACCACACACATTTATACACGTACCTCTCGATCGGCCGGCCTGGTTGTCTCGCTACCAGGGACGACCCGTGGAGGGGCTGTATAGGTACCTACTACCTGGTACACCAATAAAAATGTCATCCTAATTGCGGTCCGAGATTTATTGGGGAATATTAACTATTTCTGTATTAGTAATTATATTAGATTTTCTTCTAATTGTGAATTTGCGTGTAGTAGTATTTATAGTGAAAATGTCTTTGTTTATTATAGATTCTAGGTATTTTATTCTATATTTTACCTACACAATTATATTTGCACGGGTGCTGTACGATACACTGTATGAAAAGACTTACAGCTATTAATAGAGTTCATTACATATTATGTAATAGTCTTTATTATTAAACAGTCAAGGATAATATTAATGGTATGATAAACACAACTTAATATGGTAAATATTAATCGAGGTACTATTCGGATATTATAACATATACCTACCTACATAAACCGGAGCTATAATACCCGGATTAAATCTTTCGTATAATTTGGGACACTACCATATAACGTGCAGCCACTATAGTATACATCATATATATTATTAATATATATGTACCTTAG